ACCTCATCATGCAAATCAGTCTCTAAACAAAAGAAAAAAAAAGTAAATACAGTACTTAACCTAGAACTCCAGTATCTAAAACCACGACATAACATGTATGCTTTTACATATATTTCTTTGACTTAATTAAATTGGAACTCTAACAATCAATTTGGGAAAAAAGCTATCAATATCAGGATTGTGCACCTTGAAATGAAGATAATACCATGAATCTTTTTAGTAATTGAATTACTCTGTTCAAAATCGCTTGCTTCAATCTGTCCACTGCGAAATGTTGCTTCCCGACTTGCCATTCACAACTAAGTTTAAATAGTCTAGAATAATGGTCTCTATCTAAATTAGTCATAACTGCCTAGCTGATCAACTAGAGTAGCCTAAAGAGATGGAACACACAATTTAATTAAAAAATAGTGCGAAGTAGGAATCAATGAAAAGTAAATTAAGTAGTACTAATTCATGAAAACTGAATTGCATTATTAAAACTTGGCATGGATGAAGGTACATCCTAACAGACATAAATTAGTTACATTATTACAATACTAGAATCTTAGAATATTATGCAAGATTAAATAGTAGCAATTGGTGACACACCTCTCAATCAAATAAAACCATGCCCGTCGCCAATATGGATTTATGTATAGGACTTCTCCAATTGATAACAAAACAATGACATAAGTAACTAAAAAGCTTATATAGAAAACATCCATATCTATCAAACTGCCTTCTCTTACCTTTGGTTGTGCATTAGTTTCCTTGCAACTTTTTTCCAATGGAGGTCCACAAAGAAGCGGGTTTCCCTCATAACTGTTTTTGTCAAAGGTTCCAAACTGTCCTTTTCCATATGGGATAGGACCTGAAAGATTGTTGTGTGCAACACTAAAAACTGCCAAATAGTTTAGCTCCGTAAGTGGAGATGGAATCTCACCATTCAAACCATTGAAAGAAAGGTCCAAGCTCTCAAGTTGTTTCAAATTTGAGAAGGTAGAAGGTATGGGCCCAGTTAAGTTGTTGTGGGACAAGTTAAGTGAATGAATGTCACTTAACTTTTCCATTGCAAGTGGGATTAAGCCTGTTAATTGGTTGCAAGAGAGATCAATTGCAGACATGAAACCAAGAATGTTGCCTTCATAAGTGTAAGACCACCACTTGGTAACAAGTTCTATCCGATCTTGTATATACCTATCCAATTGTGGATATACCTCTTTCATTAATCTAGCTTCCATTTCTGTCAGTGTGTCAAAGTTAAATATTGAAGATTTGATAATGACACTCCATGATGAAAATGAATTCGGAGCGCCAATCAAATGTCCTAAACAAGAAGGTATATGACCAGAAAGTTGATTATAAGACAAATCCAGGATTCTTAGTTGGTCCAACTCACATATTTCATTCGGAATTTCACCAACAAAGAGATTATGTTTTAGAAGCAAGATATTCAAGGAAGAAAAGTTGCTGATCCATTTTGGAATGCTTCCAGAAAGGCTGTTTTCTCCAAGATCCAGTATCTCCAATGAAGAGACGTTCAAGAATGAATGTGTTGGAAGACCATTTTGTCTATTTTTGCTCAAATAGATATGTGATAAGTATCGTGAGGATGCACTAGAGCAATGTGGTAGAGACCCAGATAAATTGTTGTGAGATAGGTCGAGAAGCCGAAGTTCAGCATTATAGCAAAATTCCTCTGGAATTGAACCATCAAAGTGATTGTTGGATAAATCCAATTCAATCAAATCAAGGAGATTCTTTGTCCATCTTGTAAGCTTTCCTGACAAATTGTTGTTGCTAATGTCCAATATGTTTAGATATGAAGACCTAGAAAAGTGGACATTGGATATCTCTCCTTCAAAATTGTTTCCGTCCAGATACAATGCATCCAACGATTGAAGCTTAAATACACTAGGAGGTATTTTCCCAATCAAGTTGTTGTTTGAAAGTCTAAGATAATTTAATGATTTTCCTATAACAAACTCTTTTGGTAATGTTCCAGAGAATTGGTTGCTAGACAAGTCTAAAAATTCTAAAGAGTTCATACTAACCAACCACTTAGAAAATCTTCCTCCAAAGCCATTTCCAGACAAGAATAACCATGTTAAATATGGAAAAATCATACTGATATTTAATGGGATTTCACCACGTAATTGGTTATTCGAAATGTCTATTTCTTGAACATCAAGATTAGGTTGTTATGGCAAGTGGAAAGAACCCATGAAAGAATTGTTCTTCATAATAGCAACCTGTAATCTGGTATTATTTTCAAACAACCAATAAGGTAAGGCTCCCATAAATTTGTCAACATATCTCAAGTCATATAGGTAATAGAGAAGGCTAGGAGGTTTAGTGAGTTCCTCATTTGCCCTACAGTTTGACAAACTAAGGACTCTTGGCTGGAACTTGGGAACTCTTGTTTGAACATGATCATGTTCCGGAACCAATTGATTGAAATCACTGAAGAAGACTTTAAGGTTGGAATGGTTTGCAAATGACTTGAAGGAATTTGGAACTTGAAATTTATTAGTAGAAATTGAGAGATATCGGAGCAAAATAAGATTAATTAGGGGAGAAGACACAACATTTCCCGTGAATAGATTTTGGGAGATATCCAAAAGTCGAAGAGATGTCAAGTTAGCCAAGCAAGAAGGTAGTATCCCTACCAATTCATTTCTTGAAAGATCCATCTCTTCAAGGTTCTTCAAATCACACCAACCTTGAGTTGGTAAGGTTCCTGTGAATCCACATTTTCTTAGAGATATTGACCTGAGAGAAGTCAATGCACCAATATTTTGCAGAAAGTTTATGCTAAG